CAGAACATAACCTGCAGCACCTGAAACTATGATCATACAGTATCATAGTGGTGTAGTAATGTAGTACAAAATACGGTTTATAACCTACAACCTCGGAAACCTTTATTGACTCGTTTCAACAAGTTTAATAATCAGCCGCGGCGTAGTAACGTTACCACTACTAGATAGCTGCGTTTATTAGACACCAACCTGAACAAAGTATTTGGACATTATAAGGTTGAAACATTTCAGCAGTATTGACCACATTATAACGCTCGTAGATGGACTTAATAAGATATAACAAAATACCAGCGCACAATTTTTGGTGAATGAATAACTAAGATAAAAATGTCATCAAATTCAGTATAATGTGTAACACATCTGGCCTTTTTGTGGATTCTTTTTTTATTTTCTATACATTTATTGCCGATAAAATCGTCGTAGAAATCTTAATTACTGAAACACAATTCGTTGTAGCCAAAAATAATGTCTCTTTTATAGTGATTTTATTACTTCTAGACACTAAGTGATCACCGCTTATAGACTCACTACATAGGGACTTGTAATAATATTGGCTAAGCTGATGAAGGGATATTGTATAAAATCGAGATTAGAAGCTCTCGTCGTGTATTAAGTTGATAAGAATTTCTCTCAATTTCCAAATCATTCAACACTGGTTTTCAAGGATGAACAAAACCTTGAATTTAGATTAGTTTACAAGAAGTTAGACATCAGTGTATATTTGGTGGCTATTAGGGAACAGCAGTCCAAGGTTTTTTTTTAACCAAAATAAATTTGAAGCAATAAAAACAGCTGATTATCAATAGAAATAATCAGTTGTCATTTTCTCCTCCTTCCTCGCAATATTATTGTTTCTAAAAAGAAAATCAGTATGTGTATTTTATGACCATTGTTATGATCTCGAAGCTCACTCAAATTCTATTGCATAAGTTTTTAGCTCAAGTCCCTATGACTCACAAAGGCAGTCTAAATCAGATAACAACTTATCCAAATTGGAATCAATGCTGACATTAATCTTATCGAACAAATTCTGTGGCCAATTTTGCAATTGTTTACAATGTAATGATTAGTTTTTTGGCCCGGAATAGGGAT